TATTCATTTTTCATTACTGCAAGCACAATGAAGTTTTGAAGTTTTTAATTTTAGTCCTACACCTATGTCACTGCAAAACAGCAGTTCAGCATGTTTTATCAGTTTGAAGGTGAGAGAAAGATGCTAAACCCAGAGCAGCCTGATTCTGGGGATCAGCTTAAGACAAGTACAGCAAGATACTTTTTCTGCATTTTCAGAGAAAGTTTTCCCCGATTTCACTTGCAGATGACTGAACTCAACCCTTACAAAGGCCATTCTCAAGCTCCACGTGACCACCTACAAATTGGCAGGATTTTCTGACCTCCATACAACTATTTAGAGTTCTTTGTTAAGAGCCTAATAACCCAATGAACTTTTAATACTAAATCAAACTATATAATAAACTATACAATCAATATATCCAGGAGAGGCTGCAAAGAGATCCTTGTTTGTTGCAATTGTTTTTAGTAATGCAGAAAATTATTTTAGGCAAGTACACCAATGTCCATGTTGGTGATTTTTGAAGGAAAAAAAAAACCACACGTGCTTGTGAAAGCAGCTAATTCTGCTTGGTTTTCAAAAGAAAAATTCTTCTTGCCAAGTTTTGTGAATGTCAAATGCACGGTGAACTTTCTATTTTCCAAGTTACATAATTCACTTCCTAAAAGCTGTAATTGGGAGGGCAGACCAGAAACAAAGCAATAGTTTCTGGAAGGTACAATGTAACAGCTTCCTGCATAAAGTTAAATGGAACAAGCAAGGCGATGCTTCACCAAGTGCAGAAGAACAAAATTAACAATCTGAGAAACACTTAACAGTTGCACAAACAGAAGTTATTATACCTAAATGCATTGATCCCAAGGCATTCATCACAGCTTTAGATGCAGAGTTTGTGCTAGCAGAAATGTTGCATAATGCTAGGGAACAGAATGGGGAAAAAAAGCAACAATGCAACAACTGCCTGCAGTTATTTCTGAAAATCTGTTCAGACTGGATAGATTTTCCAACAATATCATTATCCTTGTCATCCTGTTCCTGTTCAATCGTTTCCCATAAAAAGCACTTTGAAAAACTACTGAGTTTCACTGTGGTCTTTCAGGAAGAAGCTTAATAATAAACTTGTGGCAACTAAAATGAGAAGCAAAACAAGTTAGTTCAACAGATTTTGGTATTTTAGTATTATTTTGGGAACGTTGCTTTGTTTCTTCAAATCATTTTAGGGGAGTTTTGCTGATAATTTCCGCATAACAGGCAGATTTGCAGCACCCCTTACTCAGAAGTCTTCCTTCCCTATAACATCATGCTCAATGGGAAAAACGAAAAATAAACCGTAAGTTTGGGCTTTATAATAGTTAATGTTCATGACTTCTTTAACCCTCAAGGTAAGTGGACACTGCCATTTCGGAGAACACAAGTTTTATTACACTTTTCAGTACAAAATATATATATATATATATATATATGCCACATAAAAGGACATACCTTGTCCTTATTTGTATGCTTATTAAAATAACTAAAATCAGTTATAAAAATGTGAACATAATATATACAAAATCTATTTTTAAAGCTATCACCAAAGAGTAGTTTCTGCAATCACAAAAACACAGTAGTTTTCTACCTTGTGTTCTTTATCATCCTTCTAAAAAGCAGCTTCCCTCACATGAAATACCCAGCAGGATATCATGTTAGACTTCCCTACAAATCAGCACTTTGAACTGCAGGGAACTTCCAGGCTTCAGTTTGCTTTACGTGAATGTAAGCATGAGAGTAATTCCACCTCAGCTGGCACACACCACTACAATGAGGCTTCCAAAAAATTCCATAGTGGGTCATCACATATTTATTCAGGTGAATGTTTTATGCAGTTTAAACATGAAAAGCCCACAATTATATGACACAGTACATCTTAAATAAAGTTGTGCACCAGTCAGTGAGCAAGGGGTGAGGGGTGAATAACCGAAGGGTGAAGCATATGCTCAAATAGTTGTGCCAACACCCTGGGAAGGCATTTAGGACATTTTGACCACGGCTGCTTAAATTTGTCCAACTTTTTTTGTTTTTCCAAGCTACATTTTTTTCTTGCAACTCTTTGCACTGAAATATTAAGTTCCACAAAGAGCATTTCATGACAGTGGCAAAAAAACCCTCCTTCCTTTGTTTATTATATGGAAGGAAAGCACTGGTGTCTAATAAGAGTACCTCAGCACAGGACAACAGAAAGAAAATACAGTAAAAACAAACACACACAAAAGAAAGATGAAATACATCAAGTCACAACAAAATACTGAGTGTGGCAATGGCAAAACATTCACACCACGCAATACAACTGCAGATAAAGGTATATAAGTGTGCTAGAGTAAGGTTATTTAGCTGGGAGAGGAAGGTAAGTCTTTCATTCAAGTCTTTCATTCATCATTCAAAATACTGTAAATGAGCACAACTGAACAAGAACAAATATTCTAACCAGGAAAGTCATTCAGGAAAAACCTGCAGAGAAAACACAAAGAGAATTAATCGTAACTCCAGGAAACAGAATGGTGCTCAAAAGCTTCTGGAGGTGCCTTTGTCACTCCTTCACAGCTCTCAAGTTATGACAAAGATTAGTTACAAACATAATTGCTTCCTTTCCAATAGTCATGTTTTCAATTCAACAGAACACACTGTTTATGACTAAGGTATTACTGAGAAGAGGCCCCATCCCATTTCAGGGCCAGCAGTTCTCTTTAGTATCTTTATAAAAGATCTAGATGCAGGACTTGAATGCATCTCAAAGAAGCCTGTGGCCACTACTAATTCAGTATGGGCCATTAACTCCCTCATTGTCTCTTCCTGACAAATTGGACAGCTGGAAAACCACCAACCTCATGAAGCTTAACAAAACCAAACGTCAATTCTAAACCCAGTATGGAAAAATCCTGGCTACACGTACAGACTGGGGGACAGGAAGTTGGAGGAGCAGCCCCACAGAAAGCTATTTGGGAGTTCTGGTAAGTTGGAACTGAGTCAGCAATGTGCCCTGGCAACCAGAAGGTGCAGCCATACCCTGGGGCGCCCCAGGCCCTGCACTGCCAGCTGGGCAAGGGAAGGGCTTGTTCTGCTCTGCTCTGCACTGGTACTGCCTCACCTTGAGCACTGGGTGCAGGTTTGGTTGCCATAACATGCAGAGGGCACTCATCACAGCTACACATACACTGCTCTACAAGAAGGCTGATTCTGAAGCAGTAATGCTGGCACCTTTCCCACCACACATTTTGCATGGAAGCATCATGTCCAATAAGGAAATACATTCCTGTCACACAACATCCCTATGTCTTGAAAAATCTGAACAACAACTGGAAAACTTTCATGATTTCTCTCCTCCGCGCTCAGGATTCAGGTAAGCTGAGCCCTGAGTAAGTCGTAAGGCAACAGAACACCTGCTTTCTAGGTAGAGCATTTTCTTTTCTTTTTTTTTTTTTTTTTTTAAATCTGTGAATCTTGCTTCAACAGGAATGCTGTAGCTAGTTGAGACTTTTTTTCCCCAGTTCTAACGCAGATGAAGCAGTGCAGATGAAGTATGCCAGCTGCTTCCACAAACCAGTGAGAAAATAACTTATAGACAGCCTTACGCACAACTGAGAGACGTGTTGCATAAGTACAGAGTACAGAGAACATGATGATTTAAACTATTTGCAAAGGATGACAATGCAATCAGATGCTTCCAGTGTATTAAAAGAAAGTGCCATGGACATGTAACTTTTTCCCATCAGCCTCATCCTGGAATTGTATGTTCAGAAATACAACACAGAAAACTTTTCATTGTTTGTACAAACTACAGTTTAGCCTCTGCAGTTCAATTCAGTTATTAGAAAAAGTAACTTTAGTGTCTTCCTGAATTCCCAATATCTAAATGAAGTTGAATACCTTGGAAATGTGTCAGTTATCTGCTTTGTTTATATTCACTAACTGCTCTATCAGCTATTGTTAATGGTCTGGATCTGATACATGTACTTTAAAACCTCAAAGTTCAAGGTTTCAAACAGCTGAATGAAACAGGAAGAACCACTGAATATATATGCAATAGATCTGTATTTATTAATTACTTTTATTCAAGTCACAATTTGGATACTTACCTGGAACTAAAAGTTGATTACAAGTGTTACAGACAATCTTCCTCCGTCTACACGCCCCCTGTAACACCTAAACCCAACTCCACAGATCTCAATATTTATGTGCCTTTGGATATCAACATTTGTGGAAGTGCCTTTCATAATTTCTGTGGAATCACCTTTTTTCTTTCAAAATACAGAGAGTGTCTCTATATTTTTGGTAAATATTTAATACAACAGCTGCAGAAAGTATTGTATTTATCAACCATTATTATAGAATCTTGCTTTAAGGACTCAGGAAACTTTCAGCTAAGGGAGATTCTCTGTCAGAGAATTCAAAGGTTGGATAACACTTATCCTTTCAACAGTAAAACACATCCATCCTTGCACTCTGAACTCAAGAATTCAACTATAGCTAAATTGCTACTTCAGAAGTAAGACACAGTCAAGACTAAAACCAAAATTTTTAATACTGGACTTCAAAAAATTACATGAATTCTAAGAGAAAAAATGAAAGCACATGATAAGGCTATACCACACAACCATGAGTCACAAACTCACATTTGCATCTGTAAGGCAGAACATAAGTATCAGAATAAGCAGCCCAACTTACCACACCTTTCACAGATAAGCACTATTTAATGGGTAGCTGTCAGAGCATTTCTCTATGCTCACATTGCTAATACTAAGAATTTTTAAAAAATAAGCAGTGATACTGTAAAAAGAAAGAAACTACACCCAATCTCATTCAAAAGTCATTTGTCAAGCCTTTATGAATCATGAAAACAAGCTGTTTTCATTTTTTTTTATATACACAGTTTTCAGTAAGTATGAAACTTCAAAAGGAATCTAGTTAGAATTTTCAAAGTGCATTTCTTGTTTTGCCTACTTGAAGCATAGCAAAAATTGCTTGATAATTAACACTAATGTTACCTGGAACTTTGTCAACAGATGCAAAAACAGAACGTTGCACTGTAGGATCGCTGCTACCACGTCGTGCATGATCATAAAATCTAAATGGAAGGTGCTGGGATGCAGCTGCAGAGCTGTGTCCAAAACCCATAACTTCATTTGAAGGCTGAACAGGAAGATCCAGGAGAGCTATGATTAATGACAATTGATAACTGTTGTTACTTATAGAGAGGGATGAGTAACGAAAATAAAATGATATTTGCTTCCTCAGAATCTTAAGACTACATCACACTGTTCAACATAGCTTGCTTGCATTTATTTCTTAATTGCAGTTGCAAATGCACTGAAAAAGGAGAAAAGATTTCTGACAATGTTTTTTTCATTGCTTTCATACCACACTTACACTAAGGAAGCCTCAGAATACAACAGAGTAGAAACAAGGATTACAGTAAGCTCCTAGTATGGCTTCTGTAATGCAAGGAGTTATTTAATAATAACTTAAGGTTTTTTCCTGTACAGATGAAGTCATCCATAGTTACAAGTGAGCACTGCAGAAAGCCATTTAAAGAGTCAATCTGCTTTAAACTGACCAAAAATAACCCTGCATGGCATTTCAACTTAGAATTTTAGATATCAAAATGGACTTGTATTAATTTCAAAACTTGCCTTACAATTTTTATAATGCAAGATGTAAGGTTTTGGTGTACTGGTTTCATAAAATCAGAGCATAAAACTCTTTTTAGTTAGCAAACACTGAAATAATTTTAAGCCATCTATAATCAGAATAATTATCTGGTCAGCTCATTATCCTTAACAGCAGCTGTGTTTTTGTTTTCCCAACACCAATTCATTATAGATCTTGGAAAATTCAAGTAACTCTGGTAGCTGGCATCCTTTTTCATTTTCCCACCTATTTCCCACTCTGTATTTTGGAGTTTCTGTTTCCACATCATTTCATTCAGCTGATTTAAGCTTCAGTTTATGCTTCACTCATTTAATACTCAAGCAATACTTTAATCACTCTTTGCTGTTTATTCAAATTATCTCTTTATCTCTTCTCAATCATTTCCTCCAATCACCAACATCTAGCTGCTGACATTCTATTTAACATTTTGAAATGCTTATCATCAAAGCATGCACCACATCCAAGCATTTAGTGTATCATTAACGCCATCACACGCAATTCCTTCTTTTTCATCTTTTCTTTCATTAGATATCAAAACACATTTTACTCCAATAAAATCTACTGCTTGGAAGCTAGATGCTGGTTTACAGTTTTCGGTGCCCGCATTAGAGCTTTCTATCCTTACATCACAGTCATTTTCTATGACATAAGTCTTGCTCCTCAAAGTCACTTTGAAATAACTGCTTACCTGCTATTCTCTGCATTTTCATACGCCGTGCTTGGATACGGCCTTTTGCAAGACGCTGCTTTGCAATAATGCAGCGAATGTGATCAGAAAAAACAAACGTGGCTTGCAGGATAGGGAAGGGCTTAGAATGAGGACTTGAGGCAGGTTTATGAATTATAATGTTCAGAGCTCTACTATCATCTTCTACTCCTGTCACCTGCATATCCTAAAAAGAAAGAGAGGGCAATTAGCTAATTAAAAAAATTAGCATTTTATAACAGTTCCAGGGTTAAGAAGAAGGGCTATGCAGGTTGGCAGTCCTGGATTCAGTTCTGAAGAAGTTTGTGCTCCTACATATCAAGTCGGTTTAAAATGCAATTAAATTACCTGGCCATTAGAGAATTTGCAGGAAATACAAACATTAATATTGACTACAGTAAGGGACATAAGTAACAAACATTTAAAGTTTTTGAAATCAATTGCAGAAGCACAACTAACTCTGAAGTTGCAATCTGTCACCACCCCTACTCACTTATGAGGGTCAGAATTCTGGGAGGGTTCATTCGTTGTGTCATTTAGGGAAAGCACCTGGCACTCAATCTTGTTCTCTATGCTTTTAGTGTTCAAACTGACATACCCCACATTATATTGGAGAAGTTATCATATTTTTAAGCGTGTCTCCAGTTATCTACAGAAATAACTTTAGAAAAACAGTTTAAAGGGAGGAATTGAAAATGACTGCTAACAAAAGGAACAGATCAGCAGGGTACACCATTTAAACATATAATTGGTATTTAGCTGTATAAGCTGAGATTTTCAGCTGAGAAAATGTAGAATTATCCAGATTAAAACTTCTTACCTGTAAAAGGCCTGCAAACTTAACTACTCCCCAACCAAGTCTGGCAACATCTGGCTCAACCAGACTCATCTGGTAAATATCCACAGCCAGGAATCTTTGAACTTGACCTCCATCCTTTGTTATGACTGTACAAGCAATCAGATCACTGTTATCTGAAAGAAAGCAAAAAGTTATACAGCTACTGAACTGCAGGATTCTTGGTTTTGTTTCATGTAACACAACGTTAACACAAAATCACTGGATGGTTGAGATTAGAAGGACCTCTGGAGGTCATCTGGACTAACCCTGCTGCTCAACCCAGAGCAGGCTGCATGGGACCACGTCCGGATGGTTCTCTTGACTTCATAATACATATAAGTGTTTGGAGCTGCTTATAAGTTATATATTACAATACACTTTTTTTTTTTTTTTTTTTTTTTAAATCATCTTCATCCCCTTTCCCTATAAAAGGTCATTTTACTTCAGAAGTGAACTGCACCACTGCTGATTTCATTCACTAAATGGAAATCTCAAGTCTTGTTGAGAAACCACAGAGTCCAGTGCTGCTGAATGCAGTCACACCTACGCTTCCTTCTAAACTTTGGCCTCAGCCCAATGCAATTCACACTTCTAGAAGACTGAAACCTGGCTCTTCTGACTGCTCGAAGACTTCCAGCTTCAAGATTATATGGACTGTCATTGCAAATTGTACCTTTTTGCTGTTATTTATTAAATCAGGTTACATCTTTTCCCACCCACATTATTCGGTATGAATGTATAACCAAAACTTCTTTTAGCCATCACACTAAAATCTTCAAACTACAGATCTCAAAAAACAAAGTACCTCCCTTCCCTGATCCTTTCCAAACCTCATGGTATGTATTCCAGTTCCAACCTAACATTCTTCAGTGACCAAATCACATTCTTTTCACATTCTTTACACCAGATGCAGTCTTACAAGAGCCCCATAAACATAGGCTGACACTTCCTAGCTGACCTTTGCTAATCTGGGTAAGCTTTTTCTTCATTTCATCGAATTTATACTTTCATTCATATTATCCATTACACTTCAGATTTTTTTCCCCTCTTCTCTCTCACCTCTAACTACGACAATTTACAGAAAGTAAAAGATTTTGTATCTTTTATATAGCCTGCCCATACCTGGATGGGCTCAGCAGCCAAGGTGCTGTATTTTAACTATTCCCTGCAATAATATATACACTCACACACATACACACTATTAGAATAGAGACCAATGACCACTTGACTCGAAAGCAATGAGTTCCACACCTTGCTTTTATGGCAGCCACAGGCTTTCATTCCACCCTTACCACTTCTTTAGAGCTGCCAAGGCAGTGCTGCATGGAGCAGTTTGGACTTGGTCACTCAGCCTTTCCTAAAATGAGGGCTTAATGCTACAGGCATCAATTTACTGTTCGGATGTACAAGACCACTTTTCTTCTATTCCACATACACTGTTCTTAAGAATAGTATGTGTATTTTAGTGTCAGATACACTGAAGTCATTTTGATAAATAGTATTATTTGCAGCAAGATAAGCAGCTTTCAGAAAGGCTGTCTTCTTTTTCAGATTATTTATATCTAGTGAGCTTCCTGACACGTAGAATTCAGCATTTCTTATGGCAGTATCTCCACACTTGCTCTTGCACTTGAAAGCTAGTTATTGTACCAATCATCTGAATAAAACATACATTAAATGGATCAAAAGCACTCACATTTTTTGATCCAAAGATGTATTTGTATGTCAACACATTTCATATATACATATCAAGGAAGCAATAGTAGAAACAGAGCTCTCGCATGCTCCTTCAGAAATTACTTTGTAATACCTGTGTTATTCCATTCTTTCATTTATGACTAGAAAGCTTGGAGTTACCATCAACATTCCTAAATTATAGGAAAATGGGATAATGGAAAGTCATTTACGTTGACCCAGCCTACGAATTTAAACAAAAGCAAAAAAACCCACAATTCACTGTTTTGAAACATATAAAACATCAGAGAATGAAAAAGAAAAAGCCAAGTAGGGTGTAATACAGCCAGCACTTAAGTTCTCTGAAGCAGACTTGCAGTGATTGTGGATCCCACAGTTTTTCCACAACAAAGTGACAAACATGACCTCAGAATGTACACAACCAGGTAGGAACCCTGCTTTATTCTCATTCATTACTGTGAAACTGTGTTAGTTTGAGTACACACAATTTTAAAGCAGGCTGAAAGAAACCTGAAAGACAACCACAGCAATCCATTAGAATTAAATACTTTTTTTCTAGCTAAACACTTAACAATTCCATGTAATTAGAAGAGTACTTGGGGAAAATTTTAATTCATACACAAATGGTAAAAGAGAACGGAGCCAAGAAAACAAAGGGAGTCATGTTGATAACACGTAAAAGCCAAGGGAACTTGGTGACCTCGAACCCCCTGGTGCTCTGTCACTAACCAGAAATGTAGACTGTTTTCAGAGGAACAGCAAATACCTTTCTTTAGAAAATAGAATTTCACATGAAAAAAGGATTGGGGTGGGGAAGTTTCAGACAGACTGCAGGTGACAGACACATCCTTTCAGAAGCCAAATGCGTTTGCTGTAAATGCTATGGACGTGCCTTATTCTTTGGAACTGAAGAGTTAGCATGACAAAACCAAAACTGGTATCAGATTATTTAAGCTTTAATGAGCAAGGAATTTAACATAAGGTTTTGCTTTGAAACTAAGGTCAGCTGCATAGAAGAGCTTAGAAGATTCTGTACTTTTATTAAGCTATAATAACGACACAAAGCAAGCCCTTCTAGAAGTTATTTTGTTATATTTTTGCGAAGAAAGTCTAATGAATAATTCTTTGTGAAATGAAGAATGCATCAAGCTTTTAGGAGCACCCTCGTGACACTGAAGTTATTGTACTGACCTACTGCACACCCAGCTCTTATGGGCTACATCAGCTGATACCTGCACTGTCATCTGGCTACAGTTTTCCCAAAACAGGAACTTCACTTACATGGTAACTAACAGGAAACACATAGTTTTAATTCTGGAACAGTCTGTAGTACAAAGACGTGCTTACTATATGGTTTATCTTATGCAGTGTTTGAGTTCTTATATCTAGTACCTTCTCTGAAACTGTTTAATCAACAAGCACAAAGGGTTATCAGTGTTAAGAAGCCCTGAAGCCCATTAAGGCTTTCAGCATTTACAAATGTTTCAGAACAGGACTCTGGAATACTCTGAACCCAAGCCTTCTCAGTTTGAGACATTTTATTGCCTCTTTCATTTTTTAATCCAACGAGTCCATCAATTTGTTTATTACTATCAATGGATAGTAATTCCAGCCACATTTTCAAGAACTGAAGTAACTTGAAGTGGAATTTAGGGTTGCTGAATGTTGTGGCAGAAAAGAGCTTATCGACACATGAGCCATAACACCACACAGAACAGTAAAGTTGTCAAATATACGGTTTTGTCCAGTATTAATACTGCTTTAGTGCAACAGTAAAGAGACTAAAGAACACAGGTGAAAAGATATGGAAATAGTGCCTAAGCTGCCTGACCACAGAAATGCAATAGCTACTAAGATAAAGAAATCAAAAGATTGATTTTTCAGAGCAACTTCTCATTTCAGATCTGAAAAGAAAATAAAGGCAAAGCATTACTGTCAAAGCTTATTAAATATCAGAAAAGAACATTCATAATTCATTAGGCAACTAATGAACTATGAGAACCTTTTGGTTTTACACTAGTCAAAACACACCTCATTTACACTCCTATTTCCACTTTAAGGCTGAAGGACCATATGCTACAGTTATAAAAAATGACTGAAACAGGAAGTGAGATTAAATACATTTCCAGTGATCTGATCTGAGAACATAGCATCATTTCTGAGATTATGAACAGAAGTGCTGCAAAATGAGGCTTACAACCAGTCTGGATGCTACACCTCCAAGATTCTGGATTTACAAACACAGCTCTCTGGGTTTCATCCAAGGAAATTACAAGTTTTTGGGAAACTGCCTCGGAAGGAGAGTTCAAAGACTTCAGCTGTTTGCAGCAAAGAAAACGTACACTAAGTGAAAATACTGCATGAACACAACCAACCATTTTCCTGGCAAGATGTTACCCAGAGTTTTCAAGAGCATAACAGCTACTTTTAAGAGATGGTCTAAATAAATCTGGCTTCCTTCATAGCATAAAATAAAGTGATTTCATGATTCACTCAGCACAACTCCACAAATCCTCTACAGAGACTGGACGAATCCTACAGAAGATATTTAGCATGCTGGATGTATTTAGCTGGCAGTCCAACAAGAGCTTGAGCTCCAGCAGGCAGGCTGGAGACAGCTAACGCACAGCCTCCCTGCCAGACAAAAAAAACCAAAAACATTTTCAAAGAGCACACAGCCTTTTTGGTAAGATATGCCATTTCCCTAATTACTGTGCCAGACCCATTGCAGTGAACCTTGGAGTTAAAAGTTCTGCAATTGAACCAAATGGTTTTATGGATGAGTACATCAACCTTGACAGAGCTACAGCACTCTCCCAGGGAATTCTAGAAGCAATTTGAAACTTTAAGTCCCTCTACTGATCTGCACATAATCTCTACCCAATTTATTTATACAATCTGTTTTGACTCAAAATTGTCTCCAGACCAGTAGAATGCATGTCTCAGGTAGGGCAATGGAAGCAATTTTTCTTCTTGATTTCAAATGCATGTGTATGCATATGCAAGTGAGTTTATATATACATGTATATAAATAGCATCTCTTATTCTGCAAAAACTGCTTCCAGTTAATTTAAGAACACATTTTTTTTCAGTAGAAGCTGATTCATTATTTCACTCTATCCTCTGCAAAAGAGTCAATGTTACAACAAACTCACCTGAAACAGGAAACTGAGTTAATTCTATACTAGTAATCCATCAGCAATTCAACACTAATGTACCTTTGGACAACTTTTTTTTTTAACCTAACAGCTGAAAAGTGTTATAAGCAGTATAACGTACTGTTCTTTTTTTTTGCAGATAAGTTTTTTTGGGGAATTCGTGTTCCTTTCAAAATAAGCAGTCATGGAAGTTTCAAAACTAGAACTAAAACCTTCAGATAGGAAAAAGACTTCAAGGTTTGTGTAAGGGTAAAGTCTGAGTCAAAAGCTGACATTTAAAAAGCAAGAATTTGTACCATTTGAACATTATTTTCTTAAGGACAGATTAAAAAAAAATGCTTCTGACAACATGGTTTGCTGTAATGGCAGCAAATTACACAAGCACTTTATACATTGCTCTACCATTTTGTTACTAAGCACGTGAACAAATTCCCATCTATTGTGACAAAGCTGGGTATACTATAAAAAGAAAGACCAAAAGGAATCAATTCGGGAAACGGAGAGACTACTTACTCAAGTCGAGAACATCATCTGTCTTTATCAGATCTTCCTCCCTTGTCAGTGGTAACTGAGTCTCTGGCTCGCCTTGCAAGTGCAACGACAACGAACGAAGCATAAAGAAAACTCTGATTGCCTTGAGAAATTAAAAAGACAATTAAAATATTGCTGCACTCAGAGTCTTACAAACATAGACACTTTCACAACCCCTGAGTTTGCTGCCATGCAGTATGTTTACTTTTCAAATTAACAAAACTTAGTGTGATTTAAAAGTCAACTTAAAACGCGTATAGAAGAAGTCAATGCATGTTTTTTGTTTTTAGAAGCAACAAAGCTTTTACTCACTGGCACAGGCCAGGGACAGTGACAGGCAAATCATCACGAGTGCAGCGTAAGCAAAGACTAAAAAGTTTTGTCATTTTAAAAAAATCATTTGAAAACTGATTTCATTTACAAAATCTGCTCCAGACAAGCAATCACACTCACATTGTGAATTTAAAACAGCAGAGTAATTACAGTCAGTCAAGTTACAATGTCCAACAAGTTTGAGAGAACACAGTGGGGATTCCCGAGTGTTAATCTGCAGTGCTCACATACACCAACCTCCTGTAAGAGCATTCTCAGAAAACTTTTATATTCCCAGAAGGCTTACATCAGGGCAAAGCACTCAAAGCCACACAAGCCTTCAACATCTACTCTGTGAAATTTATATTCTTGTTTTGATTTATAAATTAATGACACACGGTATGCAAAGACTGGACAAAGCAGCAAAGAACAATCATGATTTTATTAAGACTTTCTGAAAGGCACCTCTTCCACTACAAGAACTGTTCTTTCAGTACAACAAATGCAAATCATTGTTTAATGCTACTGTGGCTTGGTGCTGTTTTTCCTCTTTGCTTTAAAAAAGAACTTCCAACATAGGAATCCCATGGCACACAGTAAAGTGGCTGCTGCTTTACTGTAAAAGCACTGAACTCACAAACTGCTGCAGCGCCTGAGCCTTCCCAGCTAGCAGCAAGCATTACAAAAACCTGCTTAAACTGCTTTGAGGCAGTTTGAGAACTCTTTACTCCTTTGTACTTTTAATGACAACATAGCTGTGGATCCTGTGAGCCAGAAGCAAGCTTGGCCAGCTGTCATACTGGCAGTGCTTTCAGAAACTTCTGGCAGAACAAAATGAAGAGAGGGATCTCATGTATCTGACATATACGATGTGACAACAGATAAATTTGATATGCTGTTGAAATCTAGTAGGGGAAGAACGTGATTATTTTGGAGCAAAAACTAAAAACTGTATCTAGAAAAAAAAAAGTGAGCATTATCCTACGAGTAAGAGCAGAGTCAGTTGATCATAGGAGATAATCTCTCCCATCTGGGGAGATTGCATTCAAGGGTAGTGTGAATTTGCTGAAATTAAATAAGATTAATATAACAGTTTTAATACCAGGTGCTTCAACAACAGTTAATGGTACTGAGATTACTAGTTTCCATATTCAGTCAAAACCAGCATTATTCTTGCATTTTTATTAACCCTAATGTAATAGTCACCAGAGCTTTTTATCTTCCAAAACAATTTAATTCAAAGGGCAGCCATCACTCAGCCTTTCACTTACATCCCCACAACCCTCTTTCCTTCCTACATAGCGTAAATTGTCCTCACATGCATTCCCCATAGATCTACTGCCACTCATCTCCAACATGTAATTGAATAATCTACAAGAGTAGAAAAGAAAATTAGGAATTAGCCTTTGCAAGAATGAAAGAATGCCAGATCAGAAAGCAACTACAATGTTAACCTTACAAGTTACGGCCCAAATCCGCTTACAATATCAATACAAACCAGAAAGCATGAGATCTGACTTTGTAACTACTAACTGCAGTAGATCTCAGGGTGGCAGCAGAACAGTTCCAAGGCCAGTAATTTATTTTTCTTTTCCCCAACTGTCTTGTTTTCAGAATCAGATAGAAACAAACATGAAGAGCTACCTAAGAGCTACCTACCGTAAGCTATTATACATACTAAATTTTGTGCTGATTCTTTCATTTAAATATGCAAACTATATGCAAAGGAATACCAAATACACAGAGAGACATATCAAAATCTCACTATACTCCCATGATATGCATCCTCAGAGGTAGTTCAAAACCTTCTCTCAAAAGTCTCTGCTTACTGTGTCAAGATGCAGAGTTCAGCACATACTGTTCATTAGTTCCCCAAGCAGGCATTAAATGTGTTTGCATTAGTGTAGGTAAGCAATACTGTCTTCTGGACCATAGAAGTCAGAAGCAAGAAATGCAGCTCCTCCTAAAGCTGTTAAAAGGAAAATAACTGCCATTTACAGGGACTTTCTACAGAAAAAAAAAAGAAGTGAAAATATAAAAAGATCTGATTTCCAAGCTAAGAGCTCATGATATGATCAAAGTATGGGACTTCTTCACTTGCTAACAAAACAAAGCTTGACAAATTTTTTGGAATCATGCCACAGGATGCTCAGAATTGAATCAGTATCCATTTAAAACTGTCAGCAAAAAGAACTCTAGTAGGTTAAGCACCAGCAGCTTGTCACAAGATGCTCCAGAAATTCAGCTTACTGGCACTGCAGTTCCGCAGCAGTAGGAGATAAAGCAAAGCTTAACAAGAAGTAGCTGGAATAGGAATTCTGAGAAATTCTGGGAAGGCGTAACAACAAGAAAAGACAATTCTGGGAATTTCTGCTGATAAAAAAAGGCTCTTCCACTGCAGATAATTTACAGGAATATTTATGTTTTGGATTTCCACTAATTTATTACATTAAAAATATGCAGCAGTTTCCATCAGAAAGAATTTCTAGGTACCATTCCTGCTTAATACCTCACAAAAAGTATTCCAAGAAAACATCCCAGCTTTCTAAGAATACTTTCCAAGATAATTTACTGTACTTTATCAAAAAAATTGCACTGGTAACAACAGCTGTGTGGCTTATAAATAGTATTGAAAGAAAGACTATTTGAAAGACAACTGGAAATCTATATTTTTTCCTTCAGCAGCACTTGAATATACTTTTGCATACACTTACACAAATGCTAAACTCCTCATAGAACAGCACTTTCCAAACAGCATTATTGTGCAGTAATGCACTATTAAGATGTAAGCCCTGTAGCGCTGGTGTAAGACACTGCTGGATGCAGGCCAAAACTGACTGTTGCAAGAAAACAGACACTGATGTGGTTATCTGTGTCAGCATCATCTCTACAAATCGTGTCAGTCAAAACATGAACTATTTTGCTATCATCCTCCTCATTCTCAACATCTCAATACTGAATTACTTTGGGCAAGATGAATGTTCTTGAATAGAATTATATGCTTTGCTATGTCAAGAAACACAACCAAAGCCTGGTTTGCTCCATACTAAACTAATATAATTGAAGACTGAGATATCAGATAGCAATGGAATAAATAATAAATTAGTAAAGGTAATAAAGTGTCTTTTTATGTGAATTTCTTTGCTATTGCCTGAAAATGAAAATCCCAACACAAGAACATATTGAAGGGACTACAAGAAATTAGAAAAAAGGCTTCTCCACCTTGGGAGAGGTGAGTATGCTCTACTCAGTTCTGTCATTAAACTTCTATGATGTTACAGACGAAGCTTTCAGTCAAGCAGCTCTCAAGGAAAAACACCTGTCTTTCCAAAATTTTTCAAAGCCTTTGACACACGTCATGAATGAAAGGAAAAAGGCCTTCCTTACCCTTCGTGTTCTTTCCACATCTCCACAAGGCAATCTTTTCACAAAATCAATACCAGTCAGTGGTGTTCCTGTTGGAGGCAACAGAATTGAGGCATCCATCATCAAGTACTCCACATTCATGGGCTTAATCTGTAAAAATATTTTAACATTGATTTGTTATACAGAAAGCTACAGTTTGCATTTTTACTTTCAAATACAATTCATGATCTCAGATGGAGAGGAAGGAGCTGTCACAGAGTTCTGAGAATTTTTGATACCACCCATGTTATTTTAAGCAAGCAATCTCCATTTAAAATTCTAAATTCGTTCATTGTTCCCTAACACACTGCTGAAGTTTCCACACTGAAAAACCACAGCAAAAAACCCTGAAAGATTAGAGTAGAAAAGCCATTTCAAGAGTACTAAAAAGCAAGGTCTGTCATGTCTGATTTCAAGTTTTGACTCAAATTTATAGCTATTTCAATAACACAAAGAAAAAAAAGTTTCCCATAACTTCTCTCCTGAAAAAAGATATTCTCCAGTATCTAACAATGCAATAGCTTGGAGACTACACGCTTCCTTCCATATTTTCATGGTTAAATGATGTTTGAAATGTCTATACTTCTGCAATTTTGGGCAATTTCATCTGATGTCTATTACACACATACAGAAGACGTGAGGTTTTGTTTTTTCTTTTGGCTAGAAAAATACATGGAATCAATAGAAATCCCCTTGCAGAGTTTGTATGATATTTTGTGCAGAAGAAAAGTGCCCTTATGTGGGCATTCTAGAGTGGCCAATAGGACCTGGAAGCATTCCTGCTCACTTTGCCATGATCACACACTGTAACAGCAGCAGACTAAACCAAGATTCAGAAATCTCACAGCACAGACTTGAACTGCTGCCTTCCGTGCATGAAAGCTCAAAAATAGTCTCTATCCAATCGTTCCTATCTCAGAAAATTCATCTTCAGCGTCTAAAGCACTGGATTAACAAACCAAATTAATGTGTAGAAAAATATAGAAATCCAAACATATGATACAAATGAGAACACAGAACTAAAATTTCTGACAAGTAAATAACTATTTGTGATGCAATAGCATAGTCATTTAAACAGTGTTTTTACTCATCAAGGTGCAGAACATGAAGAAAACTCCTCATCGAGAACTTTTTCCTTTGCCATTCGGATAGGATAACTGTACTTCTGTCTCACAGAAGCTCCACAACATATTATTTGCACACTTCAACCAGTAGGACTACATCAGTAGTCCAAGTCCTCCTTCCAAGTTGAAGGAGGGAAGATTTAGGTTGGATGTTAGGGGGAAGTTCTTTACAAGGAGAGTGGTTAGGCCCTGGAACGGGCTGCCCAGGGAGGTTGTGGATGCCCCGTCCTTGGATGTGTTCAAGGCCAGGTTGGACAGGGTCCAGGGCAACCTGATCTGAATGTGTGTGTTTGGTGGCCCTGCTAGGCAGGGGGGTTGGAACTACATGATCCTTGAGGTCCCTTCCAACCCGGGTGATTCTGTGATTCTGTGATCAGTGACACTCAGCACTTAAATTTGCTCTGCAAATTTTCTAACTAGCCAAACAAATACGCTTTAAAGAAAACAAACTTTCAGGGTGTAACTCTGTCTTTTACAGTAAATGATTAAAAAAAAAAAAGCAGTTTCAGAAAATGAGATACTTGTGTAACAGAAAAACCTACATACAAACTAATTTGTAGCATGACAACAGTGCTAACTTCAGTGCCAGTTTTCAAACTAGAAGCACATCAACACTAAAGTAAAGAATAAGATACTGATTAAATACTCCTATTATTTAAGCTAGTAAGCTAGTAAGATACTGCAGGATGCTTCTCATATTAAGAGGTGCTGCAATACACCAACTGTAAATTGTCCTTTTTCAAAAAGACAAAGTGCCTGCTGATGAAATCCCTGTAACATTGCTGCGAGGAAAAGAAAGATCACTTCATGTGACAACTCAATTCTGAAACACTAACCTAAGAATTTAAACAGGTAGTTGCTTTTTAAATGCATTTACAGCTTCAATATTAACTGAGATTCAAGACAAAAGTTTACTAAGAAGTCCACAGCAGTGCTCCACAATTGGTAATGTGCTGCTCTTTGAGGGGACAGAGCTCCCTGTCCTCTGCTGATAAGTGGCTCCAGTTAAACTCGAAACCATGCAGGGCTTCAAACAGACATAGGAAGATTATGACTTTGACTTTTAACTATTCTTTTCTTCAGTTGTTAAACAATCTAATATCTTGGTCCCTAGGATGAAGAAGTTTTTGTATACCTACTTCCAGAAACTGATGGTGCTTTTTATTTAATAAAGAGCTGTGAAGTTTCACACAAATGATTTATGCAAGTGTAGAGAATTCCTCAGAGGAATTAAAACATTCTGTTATTCTACTGCTAGATACAACAGACACATTCAATAGTTTCCAATAACTACTTGTTTCTGTCTTGCATCTGGTTTGGAAGATTTTGGGAGGAACTCATACAGGTGTCACTTACTGTCATACTCCGATATTCATCTTCAAACATATCCAGAAAAATTTCTTCTCCCTTTTATTAAAAAATAAAAACGAAGACATCAAATACGAACACATTATGAATCCACAAACACTGCTAAAGAGACATGCTTGCTCTTGTTTAATTGTGCAGTGGGTGTAGGTGGCAAGGGGTGAGCAGCAGGGGTGACTTCTGGAAGAAACCAAGGCTGGCCACAGCCAGTGCTCCAACAGCCCCACCACAGCCAGGCCCCACAGCAACACTGGCTGTGCCTCTGCAAAACAGATTTCAGGAAGAGCAAAATGCTGTTCAGGATTAAGGGAGATGAAAAAAGGGTGGCGAGGTGGGCAAACAGAGAGAAACAGTCCTGCAACACCAAGGACAGAGGAGGAAAGGAGATGCTCCTGGCGTTGGAGCAGATCCCCAAAGATAGCCCATGGGGACCATGCTGCAGCAGCACAGCAGGTGCCTTAGTCCTGAAAAAAAAACACAGTTTGTGGAGTGTCCATGCTGTGGCCAGTTTTTTTCCTGGCTAAGGGCAGTAGCCCACAGAGAAGATCCCCACTAGAGCAGGGGAAAAGTGTGAGGAAGGAGCAAAAGCAGCAGAATGGAACTGCTACAGATCCACAACAGCCCCAGTGTCCCATCCTTCCTGTGCAGTGGAGGGCAAGAGTCAGAGGAGTTGGGAATGAAGGAATGAAGTTGATCTGGGAATGAACGGAGAGGTGAAGGAAAGGTGTTGTTCTCATTAGTCTTTGTTTCATGCTATCCAATTTAATTAGCAGTAAGTTCAATTTTACCCAAGCTGAATCTGTTTTGCCCACAACAGTAATTATTAAACAATCTCTCTATCTGTATATGAAGCTACATGGTTTTTTTTTTTTTCTCATCTCGTTTTCTCCCAGTCTGTTGAGGAGGGACAGTGCAAGAGCAGCTGGGTGGGTGTCTGGCAGCTGGCCAAGGTCAACACACCACAAATTATGATTTTTTTATTTTTTACTTACTGGAAATTAAAAATAACCCTGCACCTTCTTCCTCAAGAGAATTCCAACACAAATTGGAGGAGAATTTAGACACTTCCATATAAGGGAAAGTAAATTTGTAACTAATGAGTTCATGCTTAGGGCTCATTGTTTGCAACACTAAAAAAAAAAAAAAAAAAAGCAAAAAGCTGTAGAGGTCTCAAAATAAGATTAAATAAAATTTCAGATCATCATTTGGAATGAGATACAAACAAAAAGTAATGCCAAAAAGAGGCATCTTCCTTATTTGTGCCGTTAATAAAATCCAAGAAACTTTCCAATGGTATGGCAGCTCCACAACATACACAGCAGCTGCAACAAAAGCAGGACTACTCGTTTGTCCTCTGATGCAGAGCCAATGGGACTTCTCACATCCTTTTTGTGAAGTCACCAATGGGCTATGTGAAATGTAGGAAGGAGAGAAACCATCTAAAACTCCCTTCTCTACAAGAAACATGTAGTGCTTTCTTGGGGAATTAGACTGGTTTTAATTATTTTAAATCCACGTGTAAAGACTCGTTTCTTACAACCCTCTGCATACATACCTTATAGAAACGGCGAAGGAGATGAACGCCTTCTTCTCTTGCACCCTAGAAATGAGAAAATAACCATTTCAGGGAGTAAAAATACCATTTAATCAGAAGTAACATTTAAAAAAATGCACCCAAACTACCAATATCCCCGTATGTATAGCCTTCAGCTCAGAATCTGATGTAACAGTTCTAGCACTTACAGCTCAGCTGAGTTTGTTTGTTTCAAAAGTACTTCTCTTCACATTGCTGAGATGGTTAACATACACTCTTCAGAGAGAAAAATGAAACTAACTATTCAGAGTTAATCAGCAAGCTAACAGCAGACTTGAGAATGGTATTCAGAATATTGCTTCTTTCACCGTATAGAATCACCAGTGGAAAATATTCTAGAGGCTCAAGTTTCACATTAAGCTTATTACAATAAGAAACAAAGACATTTGTGCTATTATACAGCAAGATGCAATTGCAAGTAATGCTGAAACTAGTAACGTGAAAGAAGAATACTAACCTCAAGGCATGCAAGATGAACGTCTTTTATTATGCTGCCATTTTTAGAAAACACAAGCTGCTTCAGCAACAGACAGCCAAGTTCTAGAGTTGCCAAACGGATTTTTCCATCTATGAAAAGAGAATTTTAATATAAGAAACAGTAGCATCCATCATACACACCCAGCCTGACAAGGGTGGATGTATGGTGTGGTTGGCTGTAAGAAGTGAACTAGAAGAGTTATTGGGAAGAAGCAGAACCACACAACAAGACTGTAATAAAGATGTATTTCATTACAAAAGCCACTGAAACCAAACACCTTAGTTAACTGGAAACACAGACTGAATTATACATCAGGGGAGAATCATAGGTGGCTGGCATGGATAACGTTACAAGATGAAGTGATGCTCTGTACAGAGCATGTGAGTAAAGCACAGGTCTTCCTCACATCCAGAGGATTTAAGCAAAGCCTGGACGCAGAAATCCAGAGAGGTCAAAAGGAAAGAATGTATTGAGAGTTTAAACGTTTATTTTCAGGAGAACTATTGAAAAGTTAGAAACACAAAATTGGAGAAAAATGTGACAAAAAATGTGCAGCCACAAAGGCCACTGAAGGACAGCAACAAGGTGCATCCCATGGAAAAGACCTTCAATGAAGCATGCTGTCCTACTGCAGCCCATGGAGAAACATGTCAGAACAGATATCTGTACTGCAGAACATCAATGACCCTGCAACACAGCAGGAGGATAGGGGCTGAAGAAAGCTGCAGCCACTGGAGAGCCCATATAGCAAACTAGATTTCATTCTGCAGGCAATCAATAACGACAGTGCATCAGTTGCAGGGGAAACTGGCTCCACTCATTTAAAGTTTTAATAGGGGCAGCATAGGTGGGAGGAGCTGTGACTTAAACAAAAATTGTGTTTCCCTGGAATAGTTCATTAAGCCTTCTATCCCTTATTTTACAAAAAGTTGAAGTTAAGAAAAAAAAATGTTTTTTGCATAACAGTTCAGAACTGAAAGCACAATACATAATTAAAAGAAGTCATGGAAAAGTTTACTATTAGCCTCCAGAAGCAAAGGACAGCTATAAACAGATTCATTTCTTGTGTATATTTTTGAAGACCACTTCTCCACTGGCAGCAGTGCTACAATTAAAGGTGCCACAAACCATATTTTCAGGATGAAATTATACATTAAGCTGAAATCACTACCCATCTCATTATTCCTTGTTTGATGTTTGTTTATTCAAAAAAGTGGAGAGAAGGAAAGTTAAGACAACAGATCCCTCTATAGTTCTGAGCATAAAAACAACTATTCAGCAGAAATGCAGTTACTGGTTACTCAACAACTGAGAGAAACCAGTATTTGTCTTTCACAGCCCATATTTACTTACTGTTCAACAGAGAGCATGTTAAACACACACTTTCATCTCATACACAAGAGGTTAAGTAGCTTTTCAGCTTATGAAGAAAACAAATATTATAAATGTGATACCTGGTTGTGCAGCATAATTCATTATTCTGATGAGCCCTTCTGCAAGTACATGATTATATGAATTTCTCTCTTCAGCATGTTGAGCAGGAAGCTGAATTCTCTCCAGCTTCACTGGGTCAATGCCTTTACAGGGAAGAAAATGAAGTAAATTAGAAAACAGGACTATGCCTAAAGGTAAGCATTTAATAGATAGCAATGGTTTTCTTGGAAGAGTGTTATTAGCAATACAAAGAAATTCAACACCAACTCGCAAAGTTATCACAAGCAAAAGGAAGAACAACAGATTAACCACCTTTGGGGATTGTACCAAAAACCACGTTTCATTTATTTTCTCTAAGAAAGTGGCTTACCTTTATTGTGTGACATTGCATACAGAAGACAGAGCACAAAGAGGGCATAGTAATCATCTTCAGCACAGTCCAGTGCATTATAGACCATATCTAGAAAAGGTCTGCGGAAAGGAAAAAACTTTGAATTGGCCAAGAATAAGACAACATTTACAGGAAAATCAATAACTATCCTGCTCTACATATAGAGAGTGAAAGAAGTCTACAGTAATGCACATTTTCAGGCATTAAAGCAAAAGAACTTGTTTGAAAGTACTCAGATTACAGTACTGTCTCATACTACATTCTGACATTAATTCAAACATTTTTACAGGAATGGTTTCGTAATACTTTTCCAAGAACTACCTGTTCATACACTTGCTGGGTTTGTTTGCAGCACATATAATATGTATGCAGAAGCATTGTACAGCTTCAGTGCATATGTACATAATGAAGTTCAAGAAGCTGCAATCACTGTTGCATTAAAAAAGAAAAAAATACCTACCTTAAAAATTCAAGCACTAAGTAGAGTTGAAAAGCATTTACTAGAGCAAGAAAGAAATTTTCACTAACTTTCGCTAACACTTGGCGCAAGGTAGGCTATCCTACAACAAGCTGTCAAGAACTGCACACTCAAATGACTAAAGGAGAGAAAAATGAGAAAGAAAGAAACATTTGAATGGAAAAGTTAAAGTTCAGACTGCAGAAGTGTTTTGGTCTCCTAGGTTTAAGCACTAGCAATGGTTTAGAAAGTTCTGCAATGAAAATTTTTATGTTTGTTTTAACTGCGTTAATATTTTATAACTCAACTTTACCAACTTTTGGTATCACAACTGCTACAAAAGAAAGCACCACCTGAACAAAGAAACTGGATCATATCCCAAACTGATCAGTAAAGAAGCAGTATTCTGCTTTCCTATTGCCTCCCATCTTACTGTCCTACAAGAACACTTGTAAATTTAATCGGAGGCAGATTTGAGACATCCCATAGAAGAGATGAGAAAGTTTAAAGGAAGGCAAACACAGAAGCAACTCAGCAAGACGTTACAGTTCCCATACCTGTTCCAGTTTGTTATCTCACTTCCAGAGGCAGCAGCACTCTTTTCTTCATCCGTTGTATTCTGTTCTGTCACAGCAGAGATGGACAATTCTGAGAGCTTGCATCGCTCCATGATGACCATCTCTATTTCTATAAAACAAAAGTTGGTATTTTTAACAAACAGTTTTTGCAAGCTTTTTCTTTTTCCACTTTGCATTAGAAGCCACTGATGCAACTACAAGAGGTGTAACCACAGCTTCAAAAAATGAATAACTGAATGTAGACAAATTTTTCCTCATGATAGAAAAAATGCTTGCTTACATTCCTGTATGAAAGTTAATCCTATAAGAAATTTACACACACATACACGAAAGAAAACATGCAAATTATTTTGTTCAATAAATAAATAGCAGTAAATCCCTTCTCTAAACCACAGGAATAAAACACACAGAACAAAAAATAAAATCACAAAAACATTGATGAGTGCTAACAGGGAAAATGGAGTTTCCCAGAGGGTGTGAATGGCTTTCTACTGTCAGAGCAAACAAGGTACCCAGTCCCACATGCTGCAGGCTTTTTGGTAGTACTAGCTTTTGCTTACGAGGTTGGACAAAGACTAATAAATGCACCAGTTTACCCAGCAGATCGTGTCATGCTGAAAATTATGGCAATGTACCATCAGCTATTTGATGCCATTTAAGGAAAATAAAAATCCTAGAAAGTCTTATCAAAAAAGGCAACCGTGTTTGGACAGAACTGTCCAAGAACAAAGGTCTTGTTTTTAACTTCTTTTATGCCATTCTCCACGTTTTCTCAGTACATGCCTATTTTCTGATGTACCCATGTCTTCTAGTTACTATTAAAATAAACAGTTGTGATGTGCTATAAAACCACTCATCTTACAGAACCAGTTCTCAAGGCTCTTAAATCCTCTTAAGGCTAGCATTAGATCAAAAGTCCTGAAACTTAGCAATAAAATAATCTCCGTTTAAGACATTTCCTTCAGTTTTTAGCAATTGCATGTTTTCAAAAAAGTAGTATCAATTTTAGCATACTTGAATCACTGAAACATGCACAAAATACTCCTGACCATGTTCCACATTATTTTCTTTACTGAATAAAAAAAGCTGCAAAGGTCTACAATGAGGTCTACTTATAAAGCTCTCCATAATCAAAGGCACAAAAATCAAAGGCACAAAAACAGCAGGTAGATACAAAGGCATTTTTATGGTTTTCAATCAGACTAAAAGTACACCTCCCAATAGAATGATTTAACATGAGAAAAAAAACACAGCCAAAGAGAGTGAAATAAATTACTACTACTGTGCTACCTACCGCAACAAGAGACCAAGCCATGTAATACATCAAAATTAGATGCACACAGTAGCCAAATTGTAAGAGCACTTTTATTTGCTAATGTACACACCTTCATTTTCACTGCTTGTTCTGATGCCTTTTGAACTCGCTTCTGTACTTTTAGTTTTATCTGAGTCATCTTGGGTATCTTCAGATTGTCTCTCCTCCTCGTCTTCTTCACCAACATTCTTATAGTTGGGTCTTTTCTGCACTCTCTTCTTCCCCTTCTGTTTATTAATTTCAAGAGACCTCTCAAGTGTTTCTGTTGGTTTTATGAAACATCTGATACTTGACTTCACCTACAAACATTAAGATTTTACACTGAGCTATAAGCAAGGCATTTTTAACTCTATAAAAGACACTTCAGTTGAAAGTTTTGGAATTAAAAACTTAAATTTCAGACCAGTTTCAAAATACAGGAAAGCAGACCTTGGAGAAACAGTGCCAAACCAGTGAAAGTTGTACCCAAAGTAAAATAACCTAAAGACTTGCCATTAAGGAGGATGCCATTTCAAAAAAAAGAATAAAGCAAATGGTCAGCTTAACGATGCAGGGTTCTTAAAGCCATATTTTGCTTCTTTGAATTTTGCTTAACAGGTAAAGCAGTTAATACAAATAAAATTAAAAGACCATATGCAAATAGGATAAAGGCAGCAAAATCAGAAGTGTCTGTTGATAGCAATGTATTAATAGGAAACACTCAGAGGAAAGCAAGCAGTATTCAGTCAATACCTAATTTTCCTGATAATCACTTCATATATGAAAAAAATAAATGAAGATGACAACCTCTGACTTACAGGGTTTTACAGAAACAAATGATTGCTTCAGGAGAGTCTGTGTCATCCTAACAACAGCAAACAATGCACTCTTACAGAGAGACGAAAAAAACAAGAACCACTTTGACCAGCGAGATTAACAGCTTGGTTTCCCATCCTTTTGCAGACTGTTTCTGAGCTGCAATGCTTTGAGCTCCCTTCACGTTTGCTAGGGCTGCCACTTGGATTATGGGCACAGAGCTCCCAGCCAGAGCTACACAAAAACCACAGAGCCAAACTTCTCTGCTACTGGGAAGTGAAACGTAGACTGGGGGCTTCCCCCAGCACAGGCTGAACCTGAACAAAGCTCTTACAGAAACTTCACTACTTTTTAGATCTTGATATTTCAATCACATTTAGCTGACACTGGCTAAACCATTCAAAACTTGAGGGCAAGCAATAGAAAATATAAGTAAGACTAAATACATATACTGGGATTCCATTCCTTGCCCCATGTGACTCAAGCACTGAAGACGAAGAGTTCAAAGATACCTCAGGAAAAATGTTGGGAAATAAACCCTCACTCCAATTAGTAAAGAATACATTGGAGGGTGGGGGGAAAAAGAAGAAAGAAGGAGACATTAGGAATGACTGCATGAGGATGAAGCCACGCACAAGTCAAAAGGCCGAAACATTGACCTGAATCCTCTGACTCACAGGGTTTTACAGCAATCCTGCAGGTCTCCTTACACTTGTCACTGAAATAAGCTACATGGTAGGAGGAATATTTCACAACACTGAAACAAACAATTCAACCCACACTGTGCAATTTACTGCACATCTCTCCCTGTAATTTCTGACATATTTTCAGATATACCAAACTACAGTTTGGACAGATTATAAATTAATTGGAGTCACAACCAAATTACTTTTATTGGTGGCTTCTGGTCAGAAAAGTCCTAAGAAAAGGGAAGGGCACGTTAAGTCCTATTCTTTATGGAAAAAAATTACATATGCAAATTGCAAGAAGCTTTTAGATTTTCCCCTCCCTGCATTTACTTTTTACACTGTTTTCTAGAACTATTTAACTACTTCATGAACAATGCAGGTATTTAATATCCTTGTATTATAAGCTGCTGCTTGTCATATGAGCAAAATAACAGAAGAGACATTTGAGTGATACACTCATAAACACTGAAGTATGGTCTGGTCCACTGCAAGAAAGAATACTAAGGAAAATACATATCCTGTGCTGCCTAACAAGGCTAAATAATTAAAACAATCTCAAAAAAAAGTTAGCTTACATTATATATAATTTGCTTTTTCATTTAGAGATACTGTTTTATCATACTTTCAAAAAGTGTCTATCATATTTACAGTTTCTAATGTATAATCATAATTTGTCTTGTGCAGTGTGTGCTAGTAAAATAATTAGTAACAACTTCTAATGAGAAGGAGAAAGTAGGTTAAACAAGAAATTGAGAAACATGAATTAGGTAGAACTGACCCACATCTGAATTACGTAGGAAAACAGACTTCACAGGAAATAATATAGAGCTGAGTGTATTTCTACTAACATCACTTAATGGCAGAAATAAAAGGGAAAAATATGTAAAGGAAAAAGCATCTTAAATCGGTATACTTCTCACACTCCATGGAGTAGCTTCACGTTCCCATTTTCAGGGCTCATGGAACAGTAAGGCTGAATTTACTAAAAAATATGGTTCCAACCATGGAGTGGCAACAAAGCTCCACCTCTGGTACAATTTTGCTAAGCATCTACCCTAGAAAGCCAGCCGCCTCCTGTTTGGTAGCTGTTCACGTGTGACAGCGCGCAGTGTGTGCACCATGCATCACAGGACAAGTAAGAAGCAGCAATCTAGAACAGCATTATAAACATGAGAACAGATGAACAGGCATTTAAAGGAAACTCCTACTATTCCTCACATTAATGTAAGCACAAAACATGTGCTACAGATATTCTGCAACTCTGCACAGTAAACAGAACAGGAAAAAACCTCCCTTCCACAACATGTGCTATCTCACCATTTTGCCACAGATTTCCTAGTAACAAAGCCACTTCTGCTCAAGGAGCACACAACAGTCAGTATGCAACTAGTACAAGGTCAGACATTTCCTAACACAAACAAGAGATTGCTTTATCTCATAGCACTCAGTCAGCTCCACTGGCAAAATGTCAGCAACCAGAACTGAACCTAGGCTGGATGATAAAAGTACTGGAAGACTTTGCAATCTGACCACCACAGAAAAGAGAAATGTGGACAAGAACATAATGTTGCAAGTCACACAGAGCATTTTTTGGCAGTCATATTTAATGATTTTTCTGCTCTTACCTCCTAAACACTATTGCCTTAACTTCAGTTTCAAGATGCAGGCATTTCTAGCTAGTTTCTTGATATTACTGGTATTTCAAATAGAATACTTGCATCTTAAAAGAAGGAAAATATCCATATATTACTTGACCACTTACTGAGTTTTTCTGAACATCTTGCTCAGCTTTAGAAGAAAACACAGACAGGTCACCATTAAGTATAACCTCAGCCAGTGAGTTCACCAAAGGGGCATAATGTATAATAAGAAAAACCTGTTAAAACAAAGGTGGAAAGAAATATTTGACACATTACAAGACACGATTTCTCCACTTCAATCACTGAACAAATTCCATTTACGTCCTTGTTGAACACTGGTATCTTAAGTTTACATACACAGTAACATTAAATTATTAACACTAATGGTTCATGAAATCTGCTTCAAAACACATAACTCCTCTAGAGCATAATTCCCTCTACAGATATTCTTGTTCCTTCTATATTATTTTTTATTCTATGTTCTTTTCCTACATTTTAAGCTACCTAGTTTTAATAAAGAAAAACACAAGCCATGAAACAGATCAACACTCCCTCTGTTTTCCCAAGAGAATATCTCAGATTTAGGTAGATTCAAACTGCACTGCATGTCTAGGAGAACCTCATCTGTAATTTTACAAATCCTGTCCTGAAATGCTGCATGACTCTATTGTGAGCTGTTTATGAAGTGCTCTACACAAACGGATGCTCCAAAAGCTGTCATTGTGTGCTACAAGATCCCTAGAGGAACCGTGACTGAAGAAGCTACTTAAATCTGTCTTAAGGAAAAATGAGCTATTATTCTTTATTTTTAATAAGAAAACTGGAAAGTGTTCAACAGTGTGTTTGCCAATTTTTTAAAAATGGTTTTGTCAGAATAGATGACAATATGGTAAATAATATTACATATCATAACACTACAGCAAAACACATTCTGAAATAGGACAAAATAATTCAAATACATACTTGAGAAAGAAGATAGAGAGAAACTTGGAGACTTATTTTTGGACGCTCCCCACCCTAAGGAAAAGAAGTTGTAGAAGTAATACAAAACAGTGATTTATTTCCATAAAGTTAAAGCACTGACACTGATTAAGATTTTATTTAAAACAAAGTTTTTAACCTCATATTGTTTCGCATCCCATCACAAAATATCCACTAATGGATATTAGTGGATATTAGCACTAATGATGGTGCTCTTTAAAATTTACTTTTTGGTAAACAATTTCAAATGAAGACTCTCCAGTTAAGAACACCTCACAGTCTACAAGCTTAAAAATGGCTTCTGGCTGTTCTCAGTCACAGCCCCTTTAATAACATCGCAACAGATAAATAACCCAGAATTAAGTTGGTATTTCCTACTCAACCATTCCTTCACAAGTTTTTTCTGATAGCATTCATTAAGGAATTGGCTGTTACATAAACAATTATATAAACAATGAAGTATTATGTATAAATAAAAAAAATAATATTGGCATTTTAATAGATCAAACAAATAACAATGAACAAAAGTGTTCAAACTATAACCTACCTCCTCCCCCTACAGTCCCTATTTGTTTCAACATACAAACATAGGCATCAACAGTATTAACCAGGTGTATTCCTTAGTAAGGTTAACAAACTGTTATGCATATTGAAGGCAAATAACTCCTTTACAACTTACAGATTTGCATGTATTCACTTACCTTATCTTGATTTACTAATGAATACACATAGAGGGGAAGGAAGAGCCTATTAAGCAGGTGGTCTGTCAGCACATCATTTAAAAATTCACAATTAATGATAAGTATATCATTAAGGTAATGCAAATGATCAAGATGTTCTGCTACCAGGTCACTCAGCTTGCCCCTATTCCTGTGCCTGAAAAACAGAACAGATAAAGTCTCAGGTAAGTAAAATTTTTTTTAAAGACTTGATTAAAAACTTTAATCATTCAAGTCCTATCAATTGCCTTGTGCAGACTGACAGCCTAAAACAGATGTTTTCACATCCCATGCACTAATGCAGCTACCAAACAGCATTCAGGCATATGTTTTCTTTAAGAAGCACATATGAAGTCTTTCCTCCAGTTTTCACAAGTAGTACTTTTAACAACTTTGCTTCCCACTGCCAGAATCTTCTCAGAAACCAATCATAAAAAAGGTTTTCTTTCTAAAAAGAAAACATCTGTTTTATTACACTTCTGCCTTTTCACTTAAAGGAAGTATGAAACAATCACCCACTGTGAGTGGGAAGTAAAGCAAGCAACCTTGGTTTACCTCCGGTTATTTAACCTGAAGCAACAGAATATTTCCACAGTTGATAGTAGTACACGACGTGGGAATTTCATTGCTTACAGTTCCCATATTAAATAAAGTTCATCTTTCCAACTATTTTCTTTTTTTTTTTCTCCTACAGTATCTTTTTCTGAGAGCTGTTCTGCTGGGACAGTACTCAGAAGAGAAACACACAAAAGAGTTACTAAAACTGAGAAGCCCAAAATCCCATCCGTGTTCTGAATTCCTACTAAATTTAGCAAAACTAAAACAAAGATGAAGAAAAGGCATGTTGTCCAAGAATGATTTACTTGTACTGACATGAGTACAGATAGAGGACATCACTGACCACTCAATCCAGAGCACTGATAGCATAAATCTGTGAAAAGAAAAAGCTTCAACTGTCTGCAAACTGTCTCAGACACCTACTGTCTGAGGTGGACCACTGCAGACAAAGTGAGGCGAGCATCAGTGTCCGGGAAAAGCATTTCCATTCAATAAATGACATTTTAAAAAGCTTACTCTTCATCAGTCTGCACACAGTTATCCAGTTCAATCACATGGCTTCCAATAAACCAGACAAGGTTGGAGAAATAAGGGACTGCAGTTTTATCTCTAATGTAATGCAGCATAGGTTGGTTGTCCACTGCAGAGAAATTGTAAGAGAAAAAAAATCAGTTTCCACTCCTTTTATATTTAAGGATTTTAAAAATAAGTATAAACAAAGAACCTTCTGAATTTTGATTACATGCCAGCTTTTCAAATGAGTATATACCTGAGATGGTCTTATGCATGAAATGGACATCTACAAAAGCATCACATCAATTCTTAATTGGCTTGAAAGAGCCTAATATTGATATATTTACATGTCTGAAGACAAATCTAGTGGAATTCAGAAAGAGTTTTTAGCACATTCCTTAATAAAAAGAAAACAATGCAGAAGAATAAAGCAGTAATGCTGAAAGTCAAGCTACTTAAGACTTACATGACACTGCATTAAGGAACACAGGAATCATCAGTGAAGGAAGGGCAAAAGAAACAGACAACAGTTAACAGGATTAGGAACTGGGATAGTAACATCCTCCAAAAGGGTTTAAGAAGCTAAAGCACAAAGCATCTAAACTAAAAGATACAGGGTAGGAGTTAGATCAGAACATTAGCAAATGGATCATCAGAAAGTTATGAACCCTGAATATCTGAGCTGTTTTCCTACTCTAACCTTCATATTGCTACAAAATCCTAGAAGTTTATTTTTTACCATAAAAGCATTCAGTCATGTAAACACACACTAACAGGATATGAAATCTGCACTTAGCTCTGTGAGCACACATTTGGTTTTATAGCTGATGAGCAAAAAACGAGTACCAAGTACCTCTTCCTCAACGTCCAAAACAAAACCTGTCCCTAGCAGTCAATGCTACAAAGAACCAGCCTGCTATTGATGCTACTTGCAATGTGAATTGTCATAATGCTAAAAAAAAGATCTTACGCTCTGATGAAAACCATCACCAAATCTTTATTTGATGGAAAGTTGTTTAAATTCAAAATGCAGTTTTATTAAAAACCTATTAAAAAGAAATACACACTGCACAAACATATTTCATAATTTATACTATCTACAAAGCATGTTGCTTCCAGGAGTGGACAGTATGCATATACACTATTTTTTCCACAGAAGTCACTGATATTTTCAGTCTCTCACATGGTTTATAGATTCAGGGAAAAATTCAATGAGAGGAGACTTTTGGAGGATGGGTAATGGGTGCAAACCCATTCTCAAAGCAGGGCTAACTTCTCATTCGAACCAGGCTGCTAAGGGCCTCGTTGAGTTTTTAGGATCTCAAGTAACACAGATCCATCACCTTTTCAGGAAAACTTGTGGCAGTGTTTACCTATTCTCACAACGCAATTATTTTCCTTATGCCCAACTGGAATGCCCAGTACAGCAATTAGCTACTGCTTTCATTGGGCACCTCTAGAAATGATCTAGGTCTGTTTCTTCACACTGGAGTGGCTGCAGTACCTAGGACTGCTACAGTCATATTCTATTGCACTTTGAAATGAAGTGATACCACCAGTAAACTCACTGCTTTATATACTATAAAACTCAAGTTCATAAATAAGTTAAAAAAACCCAACCTACTTTATGTTCACACATTTCTTTTGCTTTTAAATTCATCCACACCACAATCTCTACTGGAAGATAAACTAAAGTTCCTCATGTAAGCTTGGTACTCTTTCAGTGCATTTTTTAAATCAGTCTCACACGTGAGATAGTACTATTTACAAGTACACCTACAGGCTTACATTCTGTTTCATAAAAATCAAAATGTTTACCTGCAGCACATCAACATGCTTAAGTTTCAAATCCCACAAAATAAACAAAACCCCTCATGCATGCCATTTCTTTAGATATAGAAAGCATACCTTTGTAGACATTCAAAGTTATAGTCCTAACAGCAATCCTGACCATGCTTTCTGGGTGGTTAAAAAATTTAATGGCTTCTGTGTACAAAGCGAAGTCATTCGTGTGCTGCAGCAAGAGAAAAGAAAGCATAACGAATTAACCACGACATGGACAATACACCTGCTGGAATTCTGTATGAAGAATGCTTTCCGTGCACTGCTGAAATACTTCTACTCTCAACTTAAGTAACTGAAATTACTTCACAATGCACAGTCAATTGGCTCCGTAGCTCTGAATTACAATCAACTGCTTCGAGCATCAGGAGGTTTCCATGTTAGCTCTGCACACTTTCAGAGCTTTCACGCCCTCTTCTGGCAAAAACGGGCACGGAGCAACGATAACCTTATTTCACCTTCAGCCTTTGATCAGCTCTTATCAGACTTCAACTAAACCTCCTAAAGTCAAGTGGAGAAAAAGAAAACAAGGCACAAACAAACTAAATTCTCAATGAAGCAGACTTCAGAATTGCTCAAGCAGTCCAGTTTAACACAATCTTAGAAACCTTCTTTACTATGCTTCTGCAGAGATCCCCACAACTTAATTCTCAATCATTGAGACTAAAATAAATTCAGGACAAATAATTCATTACACAAGATTAGACTTCTGACACAAGATGTTCAAGAAAACAAATGCATTCTTCTCCAAGAAAATGCTAAAACAAAGAGGTGTCAAAGTCACTTCTATATTTAATGAGAATACGATTTTTCTATGATCAGAGATGATTCTAAGCAAGTTGGACAAGTTTAGACAGAAGACTAAACAAAAAATGTGCCAAACTGTCTTCAGTGCTTTTTTTTTTTTTAACTAAAGTCCTCTCATCATTATACAGCAACTCCTTTTCTTACTTACCTCGTTGTAAAAGAAATGCACAGTATGATTGTTGAGTTTCAGGGAAAGAGTTTTCAAAAATGATATGTAATATGCCATGATCTCCTCATCAGAAAAGTCAAACTTATGGACAATAATAGAATTCACATAGTTATTAGATAGCAAGTAGTCTGAAAAATAAGAGACATTACAGAAATTAATCAAAACCAATCAGTATGTAACTAACTGCATTTAACACACCAGCTAGCAACAAGCTACCCAGTGCTTCAAGGTAACAACTAAACAACCCAAGTGATGGCTGCATGCAGAAACAGTGATTTACTGTTCCCCTGCAGGTGGTCTTCACTGCCAAGAACATCTGTTAATTGAGAAGAGACCATCCCTCCTTAGTTCAGTACTAAGTAACACTTGTAACACACACATGCAGAATTCTTCTCCCCCCACCCCCAAAATTATATACTTCCAAAGGCCTTCACATGACTTCCTCCTCTTGCTAGTCACAGAACACTTTTAACCAATAATTAATTCTCTCTCCTCTGTTTCTGAAAACACCGAAGTAAACACAGTGGGCTGAATGCCAGTAGGGAGAACAGTTCCAGTACAAATTAGATGACAGAGTTCTGCTGCATAACCTTCAGCATCAATGCAAACATTTCAGACCATGACCAATCTGCTGACCTAAAGAACACCTTTAAACATATAAAATGCTTCAGAAGTACCAAACCACTGCATTAATGAAAATTCAGATTAAAAGGCAAGCTAGAGTCAAATTACAACATTTTCAACAGTGTTTAACTAAAAGGAATATTAGGAATTCATAGAGACTGTTCTGAAGGGGCACTAGAACTAAATTGTATGAAAGTGTATTAAATCAGATTTTGATCATTTAATCCTGAACAGTTCCAAAACGTGTCCTTACACAGCGATGTTTCATGACTGATGTTCTCAAAAAGGATGTTCAGAGTCTGCAGCAGCTGCACACAAACGTAACGGCCGGACTTCTGGCGCAAGATGTTCAAGAAGAAAACAAACATATTCTTCTCCAAGAAGAAGCTAAAATAAAGAGGTGCCATCAAGTCACTTGCTGTATTTAACAAGAACATGATTTTACTAACATCAAAGATAATTCAAAGCACACTGGACAAACAGCATGATCTACATTTATGCAAAAATATCGTGCAAAGCCTTATCTTCAAAATCCTCAAAACCTAGAACATTTGAACAGTCAAATTATGCAGTAAAACAACATCAAAACATAAGAGTTATGTTATTTATGTATAACCAGCCTATCAGACAACTTCCCTAACTTGCACTCACAGTTTTGAAGGGAAAAGCTTCTAAACAAAGCCTGTTTTGTTTAATACTCATGTACCCCTATTATGCTAATCCACCTCGTCTTCAACACTGTGGATCTGACTTCTGATCACAAGTTTTTTGGCGTTTTGTTTTTTGTTTTCCTGCCCATGGTCTTCCATCTGCATTCATTAAACCACAGTTTCTGCTATCAGCCTCAAATCACTATTTTCAACTGCCTATCTTTAATACCACATTAAGTGTGCAACCAAACAGGAAGCAAGAATTGTAAGCTATAAACAAATACCCAGCAGACAAGGAGCAAAAAGATAATTTAACAGGAAAATTATGGTCTCTTTCCTAGCAGGTCATCACAAATATGTATCTACAGCTTTTATTTTTCTGTTGGTTTGTTTCTTGTTATACTTTTATTTGCATTAAAAGAAGGAGAAAGCTGCTAAAATTCCCTCCAGTAGAGAAGGCCGGGAAAAATTTCATGAAGGTACAATACAGACAGGAAGAATCAATACCCCTTTTCAAGTTATTTTTACTACCACACTATTTTACAAGGATTAAAATAATATCTAATATATGTTACGTATCATAGCTAGAACAAGATATCCATTAGGAGTATCACAGAAACTATGATGAACAAACGAGCATCATTTCATTTTAACAGAGGCAGTGAATAAATCTGAGCACTACTAGGTTTGATTTTTGTACCTATGTCAAAAGATGTGAGTCAGAAACGGTGTACAGAAGGAGCTCTGAAGTTGGAGCTCTCATTAACAGAAGCAAATTCTGTTTCACGACACAAGAACGTGATCCTGCTTAGCTCTCTACCACAGGACAGGGTATTTTCACGACCATCAGTAGGAAACTGTCTTGGAAACATTTATCTTTGAAAGCCAGGAATCTGTGTAACTCATCATTCCCCACAGCCAGAGCTGAACTGCCTGCAGGTACTTACTCAAACACCGAGCTGTCATTCTGGTCCCCCCATATGAGGATCTCTGTTATAGAACGGATAGTTTCCACCAGGAGATTGCGGTTGTGATCTGTCACTGTTGTGTTTTTAGTCAAGACATGATACATGTACCTAAAAGAAGAACAGTACAATTAACACACTGCCCACCACTACTACAGGCACCACGGCTGTCTCTGGCCCCTAACTTAACATAGATACACATGTACAAGCAATATTTCTCATCACTATGCAATTTTAAAACACTCAAATTTCCTTTTAATCCTGAAGCAGAGTGAAAATAACTGTTAAGCACAATGAGACAAGCAGAATAACCCCTAATCAGCCAAGTGAATTGGGAATGCTTGTGCACATGCTAACACGGGAAGGAGAACTATGCAGTATTTGTCCCTCAGTGCTTCTCACAGCAACTCAGGGAATTTCTTAGAAAGCACCTTAAAGTCGAGGGTGCAAGGAGCAAAAACCAGCAAACAGCAGCAGCAGGTAAGTGTGCAGCAGCAGGTGCTGGGAAGTAATTTTGGAAAGAGACTCATTAGAAAGCAGCCCTTCTATTGGCAGCAGTGACACTTCACAGACTGCAGTTGGTTTGACTGCACTGTCACACACCATTCATTCATTCAGGCCACATTTAATCAACTCTCTGCCCTCTCAAGTTCAGAAATACTGGTCAGAAAGGTGGCAAATTACAGCTTTATTATCTTACGAGTCAAGGTTTGAAGGCTGTCTAATGAAGTCTACAAATAAAAGTACAGATTACAACAGGTAGCAGAAAACTACATGAAGTTTGAAAAGCTTGCGTTATGTTTCTGAATTTTACGTGGTCAAGCAAGTCTGTCTTCTTCAGAGTAACACACACCAAAGATCACTTCCCTTCTTCGTACAAAGGCACAAAAGCACAAGAAATACTCCCTTCCTTCCTCTGTTGTTTTTAAAATGCATTTATACAATAATAATAATGAAAAAAGAACGTAAGAGTTTGACACACACACATTGTATAAGAAAAATGTAAACTAATTAGAGAAATTTCACATCACCTTAAAGCTGCAAGAGCTTCAATTACTACATACGGATCACAGGCTTATCTTTCCTCTCATAAATCAATATTTGTTTTCTGAACGCAGGGGTGCAAACTGCTCAGGTTGAAACCATTCAAGGTTGAGTTGACTCAAACATCTCCTGCAGCGATAACTCTGGGTTGTGTGCTGCTCCAGAACAGAACAGCAATGAATGCCCACAAATCCTCTGCAGTTAATGTATGGATCACAGTTTGAGGTTCCTGCTGTGGATGCCGACAGTGGGACGGGACACAGTGAAAATGGGAGAGTTTAAGCCTGACAGTGTAATTCTGAAAGTAATGACACTACAGCTACTTCAGCCTTCCTACTTGAAGTCAAATGCTCGTAACTGTGATGATATTTCACAGCAATAAGTCACATTATTGCAAATTTGGGAATGAAGTTCCATCCAGCAGCAGAGCTGTGGTCAGCATAAACGACGGTAAGATTTATGTACCATTCTTGAACCTCCTGTGGGGATGGAACGCGGAGCATTCTGAAGAAGCCAGACTGGTTTGATAGCCAGGAATACACTGTGCCAAATTAATTTACTTGCTATAATGTCACCACAGACCCTTCGGTTTGCTGACACACTGGCACAAAGAGATACAATACAGCCCTCTCTTCCAAACTACTCTGTTATCCATTTCTTGGAATGAAAGAGCTAAAGTGCAAACAAGCTTGTTCCTCCTACTGGACGTGCAATTTCCCACACCATGACAATAAAGGTACTGCACAGAAGCAGATTTTCTTTCTCAGAAATACTTAAAGTCAATCTTTACACATTGATTTTAGATAAGCCAAGTCTGTGCTCTGAAATGCTAAACCCTCAAAGGAACCATGACAGATCTGTTGCTCTGCTGGGGACTGGAGACGAAGCAAAAACCCACCAGGAATTGTCACAGCACTGCCGACGATGGCATCAGAGGGATGAAGTGTTTTGCCAGCTGCTTAGTGAAACAGGTAAGAGTCTGAATGCTCTTCTGTTTAGAGACCACATTCAGGGCAATAGCACACCACATAACTCACAGATACAGGAAGTTTTAATGGCTTTTCTACTTATTACTTTAAAAATACATTAACACATGAGAGTTTAAGAAGTCAGGTGTTCAGAAATTGAAAAAAAACACCAACAGATTTAACTATATTTGCTTCTTCATGCTGCCTGGAGCTATGGGATGATTTATTGTTCACACAGAGGAAACAACATATAGCATGGACACTGCTTCAGGAAATGAATCAGCTGTGAAGGAAGCCTCCAGGCACAGGGCTACGGGCAGGGCACGTGACCAAGCCAGGAGAAATGCTCAGCATGCAGCTCTAATGGCAAAAAAATCTTTGTGTTATCAGGGAACAATGAAAATACCAAGCATAGCAGCAACAAGCAGAAATACACTGGAGGTAACAAAAGGCAACAGGTAGGAAACGTTGTTCTTTGCATTTAGAAACAATGATATCATGCTTAAGTTCTGAGGCCTTCCACCAAAGCTGGAAAGCACAGGACACGTTCAAACTCTTCAAAAACACAGCCTTAAGGAGAAGATTCCAGCCCAATTTCAGAGCTCAGGGCAAGCGAAGCAATGGCCTTTTCAGACCACTGTCACAAGCAGCCAATACCAGCGTGCGAAGGCCTCCTCCTCTGACACCCTTAACAGCCCTGCTAACCAAAGGGTACAAAAGTGCCAAGGGCCCAAAAAAATCCACCAGAAGCACTGACAGTGAGAGAGGCTGTGAGATTGTGCTGTGCAATCTTGTTTCACCACTGGAAAAGCAGATTAAACTACAACTATTGCCACTTAGCAAGGAAACTGACGTGCAAACAACCACAATGTGCCTTTAGCCAATTTGCTCAAGCAAATCTCAAATTGTATGCAAACAAATAGAAACAGAACTTTCAGATCCAACACCTGCTGATGAAAAGCAGTAACTCTCCCACTAAACAGGCATATTGTTTACAATTTCGGTAGAACTCTAACTTTATGAACATTAAAAAAAAAAAAAAAAGTGTTCCCTAAGGGACAGCCCTGGTTAATTCTGCTCTCATAACTTACCATAATATACTTCCTATACACTGAGCTAATTTTTAACAGCAAGGTCAGTGAGTTCTGCACAGCTCACTGATGAGGAACACAAGGTGGGATTCTGCCAGAGATGAAAAGGCAGGAACACAGACAGCTCACAGTGAGCTCACCAGGGCTGACTGCTAGGTCCCTTACACACACAACAAACCCAACTCAATCTGGAGCTTTCACAGGGAAACATGTACTTCAGCTCTCAGGTAAGAAGTCAAACATAACCAGCACAGCCCAATTCTTCTTTGCTGCAAACCCAGGATATCACTTGATCTACTCTCTTTGGCTACAAGAAAACAAGAGATTACGTTTTTCTTGCCTCAAACATTCCTCTCACCTTTTCCTTCTAAACTTGAACTCAGTTTCTCTGAATTTTTGACTTGCATCAACACACTTGCTTTGTCTGCAAGCATAATACCAAACCCAGGCAGACCTACCACTCCTCAAGCACTGAGTAGCACCCAAGGACCAGCCCTCATAAAGAGAACACTGCTGTGTCTGTATCTGAGCATGGCTCTTGCCTGCAATGCTGCACACTATGTGCTCAGCCTGACCCTCCTAGATCACTTCCTGCAGTACTGCTGCCTCACTCACTGCGCTCAGGTTTGTTTTATGCACTTGATTTTCCTGTCACACACTGCAGTTCAGTCTTGCTGCTTTAAAACGTTTCTCTAGTTTAAGTAAGGACCAGAAGCCAGAAGCCATAGACCACAGTGATACTGCAACTGCGTGATCCAAATCTCGTGTGAGTGCACCCTGATCAGCGCTGTCAGACCCCATTCAAGCTCTTACAATCAGACCAACCACCAAAAACCAACAGTTTTACGTTTCTCAGTGAGATGCGTATTGGCAGCAACTTCATTTAGAAAACGCTTCTCTCCACGCTCATCCTTTGCTGCTCAGCAGAAAGAGAAGCAGTCACAGGGACCTCATTGACCCACCTCCACCAGCGGAGCGCTCGGAGGAGATGCTGCGACGTGCAGCCGCGTTACCAGCTGTGCGCCCAGCAGCACGGAGGGCAGCGCAGCGCTGCGTTCCCCCCCGCAGCCCCGGCCCGAAGGAACGCGACATTTCTTGTTTTTATCGCCTCTCATGCTCCTAGGACGAACCCGCGACGTTGTTACAAATTAAAAGCCACGGCCACGAGCGCGGCACCACCTCACGGAAGCGCGTCTGTCCCGGGGGTGTTTCGGGGCGAGCAGACACGGCCCAACGCGGAGCCGAACTGCGGGACAAAACACCGCGGTACCGCGTGGAACCCAGCCGGGGGAAGCCGCCATGAAGGGCACGGGCGGGAAAGCGCCGGGAGCGCAGCCCCTCGGCACAGAATGGCACAGTATGGCATGGCAGGACACGGCACAGCCTGGCACAGCCTGGCACAGCAAACTATGGCACAGCACACTGTGGCACAGCACACTGTGGCACAGCACACTGTGGCACAGCACA